TTTTGGCCTTCCATGTCCAGCGGCTATTAAATTCCTTATAAACGAGGATTGACGGTTGCTCATATGTCTGCTCAAATGACAGACGTACGTGCACGTTCCCAGGATTGAGCATATACATGTATATATAGACACATATAACTACAAGCTCCTTCCAAGATGACGTGCGACGGTCAGGAAGGTAGAATCAGCTCAAAGCTCAGCATGATCCCCAACCATGGTCAACACAGACAAATGCCACGCCGACACAGCAAAGGAAAAACAGCTATATTCTAAACTCCTAGTATCCCCTTACTAAGTCCCAATGATCCCACCCCTAACATTCATAATAAGCCCTATAGTAATCCCCTATATAACCCCTACATAATGGCCCTTCAAGAAGTTTAGATGTTCAGAGTTGAGGCCTGGGTTGAACCTCGAAGCACTCTGTGGAAGCTATCCCGGTCTATTTTGGGTCTTGCCGACGCCCATTAACAGCCTTTCATCGGGGTCACATTAAGGGCTATCTATATATATACATAATATACATATATAACTACATCTTCCATATTGTCCAACTATTAATGGGTGGGGGCAGTATCCAACGGCTACTGGAAGTCGTGGATGAAAACCCTGACCAAACCCGCCTGATGTCCTGAGCGAAACGTAATGACAGTCAAAAAGCACTGTTGACCAGGCCATGAAAGCCCTGAAGCCCGCAGTGGACCACACCTGGAGAGCCTCGAAAATTCTCACACATACACACCAGATCGTGACAGTCCCGGAAATCCTTACGTGCCTGGGCGGACCTCGGGCACACAGCCCCCAAGAAGCCTTAAGTTAAACCTCAAAAGAAAAAAGAAGCGCTAAACACAAAGGCAAGCGTCAGCGGAGCATCCTCCGCATCATCAGGAAACACCTGCTGCAACTAAGCCATCAGCCAACGGCAGCTAAAACCGCGTCCAGAGTCTACAAAACTGATGATGTTTGCCGATCATGCTGTGGCGATCATTTTAGTCAATAGACGCTGCTGATTTGTTTGGCAAAGCGGATTGTCACCTGATATGTAGGTTCGTGCTACCAAATGCTACTGTCTGTACTAGAGACTGCATGGGTTTTGCACAATTACTAGCATAGCGTACTTATCCAGGTATATGAACTGCTTAGGATCGTGCAGGACTTTTAGTACCAACCGAATCCGTAAATAAGATGCCCACGTGGGGTCCCACGTTGTTCTCTGAGACACTGACGTCACGTTGACCATGGACCATGGATGCAATCATCTCTCAGGAGGGTGTACAGTAGGTCCCTACCCTTTTGGGTGGGGTCCCTATAGTAAGGATCACGGCTATACTGAGGTCCTCCGCTTTTGGGAAATTACCAAATTCAGCGGCCTCCGCCCAGAGGAGGAAACCTTGGAACACTGCCGAGGTCTGAATCTCGAACTCGCAGCTTCGCTTCTGCTTCAGCATGTCGTCCTGTCCCCCAACTTGGAGGTTCGGTGCGACTTAGTAAGAAGGTTAATAACTGGGATTACGGGGGTCACTATATGATGGCTTCCAGGGGTTATAATAAAGGCAAAGCCTGTGGTCAAGAAGTAATTTGTCAAAGCCTCGGGAGCTTTGATGAAGTTAGACGGAGGGCCACAAGGCCATCAAAAGTCTTCCTTTGAGGCAAGACTGGGGCACTAGGTTACGAAGGCTTTTCCCATCAGCCTTGGACGAAGCAGGTAACCGAAATGAAAGAGAGAGGGGTGCCGGGAGGGTTTGACAAGCTTAGACGCAGGCCCCGCGCCATTACTTCCTTTGCACCATTCCCATGCCCCTGATATGAGCATACTTACTAAGTCCCCCTGATCCTCTAAGAAAGGACTCAACTTTCTCTGGTTGGCTGGAAGTCTAGGGCTGCTGTGGCCTTCCACTCGTTGAAGTTGTATGACTCCAGCACCAAGGCTTCGGCGAGCGCCAGCCTCTGATCCCCCGCCCCCTGTCTGCAAGCAATCTTTCCTTCCAGCCTTACTGCAGCCTTCTGGAAGCGCAACGGTGATTCCTATGTCGTCGGGCCCCTGGTGCAGGGGCTCAAGCTGAATTGACCCCGGCCTCTGGTAGCGGGCGTCGCTGCCCAAAAGCCACAGGCCCGGCGGAACTGCGCCTGCTCGCCAGGCAGATTAGGCCAATTGCGTCGGATTGCATTCCTGCAACTTCCGGCAAAACGTTGCCATGTTCTACTTGGAGTCTAAGTTCGAAAGGCAAAAGTCAGCATTGTGGAACCTGAAAGCAAGGGGATTAGGCTGCCTGCCGCGCACCTGGCTCAATTGCTGACTGTGGTAAATGTTAGCCCTTGACACTCCAAGCTCTGAGCCTTCCTGTCCCCAGGGCGGGATCGTCACGGGCATGAAGCACGTCCTGACCTTTCCAGTCAGGGCCAGGGGAAGCTTGGACATGGGTCTGAATGCATGATGAAGGTCTGAGAGGAAGCCTCTTCGTAATAGCCTCCTGTCCCTGATGATGCTTGCCCATCCCAAACCGCAGAATCCAAAAAGCTGAAGCGTCTAGTAGAGACTTTCTAGATACACTACACCCTTATGCAAGGGCTCT